AACTGAATGGGGAGGTTCCACATTCCTGCCAGTGGAGAGTTCAGGAAAACACCAGTGGAGTTGCCTTAAGTTGTCACAAGCTTGCAACCTTGTGACTGGCCTGCTTCTTGAAGTTGGCTCTGCAGTGGCCCGGGTATACTATCTTTCCATGTGTCTTTTGACATGGCTTGAGCGAAAAGGACTTATAAGAATGGCCAAGTGATTCCAGGAAGTTCCAAGACATGCCGCGGAGCACTACTGAAATGAAAAGGCGACAGCTTTGCAAGGGGGAAGGCACCTGGTGGCATCGGGCAGCACAAGGAAGGTGCACACAAAGTGCACAACATGAGCCAAGAAACAGCTTCATGTTTAATTGCAATCTTATTAGCCGAAAGGCTAGTCTTGAAGACAAAGGCAAATGTTGCATCATGTCATCACTCTTATTAGCCATGGCAAAAAAAGTTGCCGTGTAGGAGTGCCAGGAACACGCAACAACTTCCTCCTAAAGATCAAAATCGTTGCAATCCAACAGTTCCTCCATCATCCTGGGACTTTCTCTCCCCTCCCCCGAACCGGCTCCGTCCGAAGCCGAACCGGCTCCCCGCCTGGATTCCGTGGCTTGCGACGCGGAGCCGGTGGCCACGAACTCGCCCTGCCGGGCCAGCCCGGTTGGAAGGCTTTGGGGGTATCACGGTGTATCCCCAAAAAGCAGGGTCTAGAGTGGATGATGATGGTTAGTAGGGTTGCAGGCCGACATCTCATCTGTCCTTAGCACCTAGGATGGGAAACAAATGGAAAATGCCATCCTAGATAGCACGGTGATGCTGATACTGCCAGTCAGCTAGCACACATGAGCCTTGCAACTACCCACATATCTGAGGTCTCCAGGATGGTGGAAACGTATGCAGTACGCACTTTCTACGAAGATCGGTCCCCTCGGCACAACTAAAAGAGCACTTCTTCACTGAAAGCATTGAGAATCGGTGTGGGACCCTCTCTTATGAAGAAGTATAGTCGTCCTGGAGTAGAATATGGATAGAATATGGGGAAAATCCCAAACCAACGGAAAACGGATGTTTTTGGATTGGTATATTCTATCATATATTCTATCTGCTAGCAAGATGAATCATATTGATTTTGCAGATCCTGGTTCATCGACTGTCGGACCGTGCCTGGATTTGTGGACATGAGAAGGTGCAAGTATGGCTTCGCCGTCGTTCACCTTCTCCTTCTTGTGGCTCCTCCTCTTCAGCGGGAAGCTCTGAACGACATCCCCTCGCCAATTCACAGGAGTCGGGCAGTCCGCATGCCGAGATAATCCAAAAAAGATCCGCAGTCAAGTGAGTTGTTGTGCTAGTGCCCCAAACTATCAGCTTGTTGGATCTGTGTAGAATGCCAGGAGCGGCCGTGAGGGGCGCAGGAAATTGCGGGTGACTGGCAGCAAACGGATGAAAAGCCCTTCATCAAAGCTGGTCAAGCCTTCAACTCTCGTCCAACGTGGCATGCCAAAAATTCGGACCGTGATTCCAAAACGAACATGCCATAACATGCCCACAGAAGCACCCAAAAAGAAACGTGCACTTGAGGCTGGTGGAACAGGCCCGCCCCAGACTTGAAGTAAAGCCACTGCAAGACATTGCAAGACTAATCGAATTAGTACCAAGCTCAGGTTGTTTGGGGTTCTATTTGTGCTCTCACAGGTCCTCCAGGCGAAATGGCCAAGTCGCCCAGGCGCGTTCGGACCCCCAGCGACCTTTCGCTCGGCCTTCCGTCTTCCGTTTCCATCAGAAAGCCTCTTTGATGTCCAAACTGGCATCCAGGCTCTCCGTAATGGAGTTGATCAACTCGGAATGCCAACGGCTTTGACCGTCGGTCTCTGCAGGCATGTCACGGTGTTGTTGGAGATGTCAGGGGCCCGATCCGTGGAAAAAGGGCAACCAAGAAACCAGGACATTTGCCCTAATATGTCCTTCACTGGTGTGCAAAAATGAACTGATCAATCAAATGGCGTACAAGAAATCCCTACGTTTTCGAACCAGTGATCTTGTCTTCCCAATGGATCTAGAAGTATTAGATGGCTTTAAAGCCATCCGTTTTGACATAGATGCGCCATCCTCGGCTTGAGCTGTGGGACAAGTGAGCCAGGCCAGGACCGACCAATTGTATCGGAACAACATGGAAACGGTGTCTGTTCACAAGCGCCAAAATTCATTGCCCATCTTTGCCCATCCAACAAACTAATTTAAGCAGAAATTCAAATGGTGTTAAGAGATGTCCTTGCCTTGTGTGATCTCTCCCCACCCTGCCAACACGTTCATCATATATGTTGCCTTTGCTGTTTCCAGTTGTGCTAGCTGCCACCAACATGACTATATAAAATAGCAAGCGTTGGACGGCAACATTGCAAAAATATAATGTATGAATATTTGCAACTGGGGGGTGGGTGGCATTCACTCCCCCGGAACATAACATCTCAACGCCATACATAGAACATCGAAGCCAACTGATGTCAGCTGTCAGCTTGGGATCAGAAACTTCTTTGCGACAAAGGGAAAAGAAACCATCCGCGAGCGCTGAAAACATGGAATCTGAGTCCTTCGATTGAAAACCTCCACTTCCATGTTGGTTGAGAAAAGGTGCTCAAAACAATGCAGTGCATGGCTGCTTTTTAGGCTAACCTGACAACAGGGTTTTTGCTGCTCTGCTTCCAGGTTAATGCCAAAACCATTGATTTTTATGTATTTATCCTCTTTCTGGGTGGCTTCCATGTTTTTTTGCAAAAGCTTCCCTGGCTTCCATGTTAATGATTTTTTCAGCCTGTGCACTTCTAGGATTTAAAAAAATCCTCTGCTTCCATGATTGTCTCATGGAGTGTAGATATTTGATCTGCTCTTGCATTCCCCGCCAAGTACCTCTTCCGCAGGAATCTGGTGCCCTGAGAATTCTAAAGCTCTTAAACCTGGTACAGTACTGCAGGCTGCAGGCTAAAATTCATAAATCATGAACTACCCATGAACTGGCGTGCAGCCTGCTTGGCTCTTTTGACAGACAGTCAACCATGTTTCTTCCCTTAAAACGTTTTGGAGCCCGGTGATATTTCCCAAAAGCGGTCGTCCGAGTGTCTCGCACGTTGCAGGAGAGGTTTCACCCAGATAGTTGACGCTAGTTGTATCTTCCGTGTTCTTGGAAGCAAAGCCAGACGTTGATAGGTTCCAACATGTTCCAACTCTATCAGAGTCTCTATCAAATAGGGCAGCTGTGACTCCACACTGTCCGACGTCCGAGGCGTGGCGCCCGTGGTGGGTCTCGGACTGGGTGCTTCGGTTTGGATGATTTCTGGGTTGGTTCTCGATTAACCTCACCTCTACATCAAGCTTGAGCCAAATCAACCTGTCCGGACGCGTCTCTTCCGCCAAAGGAGCCCATTGAGCGAGGGCTCCATTTTGCCGAGGGTTCAAGAGCTCAGCCTTCAGGGGTTAGCCAGGAGTGGTTGAGTGGACCCGCAGTACAGCCGTTTCTGCCAGTGACTCGCGGCCTTCTTGGCCACTGCAAGGCCCTCAAACAACCCACGGTCATCTCCCCTTGGAATCCTTGGAATCCTAACGGTAGATCGGTAGAGAGCTGCCTGCGTTGGACCAAGGGACCAGGTTCAAAGCACCTTCTACATCCCTTGGAATAAATTACAGTAAATGTCAAACTCAACTGGGGTACCCCAACATCTCAATGTTGGCCAAGCCAAGTTCCTAAGATCCCCGACTTTACTCCATAATCATCTACGAATCTATACTGCAAAGTGTTCTGACATCAACAGATATGATATAGCTAAACCCAAAACCATCCAACCAACCTCTCGGCCTCACTGGTGGCCAGCTGGCGCAGCAGGTTCCGCGCTGCCTCGTTCTTGGCGCCGCGCTTGGAGCGGTGGGTGCCCTCCTCAGTGAGCTCCTTGCCGTTCCAGGACCACCTGGCAGCGGATGCCGGGCACACGGTGAAAACGTGCGGAATCCATGGCATGGGGAAGCATGAATCCTTGAGAATATACTTGGAATCGACGGGAACCCTGGCTCACCATTCATTCTGCGGAAGATGATGCATAGTCAGAGTCGAACCTCCGAAATCGATCCTTTGGGCACAGGTCGCCCGCGGTCCAAGTCCAGGTTCACACGACCGACGAAATGTTCAAGTTTTAAGACTCGTGGCGTTGCCCGAGCAAAGCAGTCCATCTACCAGCAGGATGTTTTTTGGCACCATCTACACCACCTGCGAGGTCTCCTCGATGTCGCATCCGAACGCTGGGAATGGTTGTTAATTATCATTCAAGCCCTCGGGGCGGTTTTTTTGCAAGCCTGACATAGGCAAACCACCGTCTGGGGACATCACGAAAACAAGCACGTTTTTGCATGAAAAACAGCACGATGTCTGAGAATACGACATCTGCAAACTCCATCCGAACGATCTCAATTCATAATTGATGTGCAAAACGGGTTCCACATGGCTCCACGAGAAAACATTGATTCGCGAACACTGGGTTGGAATGATTCGCTGGGGGGCACCCCAGATGCCAGGTGTGTTGCACAAAGCCTTCTGTGCCGCTAGGGCACTTGATGCTATGCTTGAAGCCAGGCGTCTGCTCCTGAAGGGGGCAACAGCGCTAAGGCAGCAGCACAGGATTGAAAACAGGCCGTGTTCATATGTTTTTGGGCCCCTGGCCCACCCCAGGCCCCATGGTCCAGGCCCCGCTATTGGATTTGTGCCCCGTTTTTGCGGGATCTATCCTAGGTCCTAGTCCGCCCCTGGGCAATTGCCATCGCAGTTCAAAGCAGTCGGTTCTTTTCCGGGGCCAAGGCCAGGGGCCGGAGCTTCGCACCAAAAAGGGCTATTTCCTTCACTGCACATCGGAATCCACTTGGAATCCATCCTCTCCAAATGGGTTTATCTCATTCACACCGATGTCGCAGTCTTTAAGTCTTCCATGCGCATAGCTTCTGGTCAACACCCATCAACACCACATGATGATCGCTTCATGATCGCTTCCAAGCATCACAGCGCGCCGGACTCTCTTCCACCGTCGGGCGGATCTGCATCTGCACGATGTTGAGACATGGCAGGACGTTCTCCGACTGCTGAAGGGCAGTGGCCAAAGAGACCTGCACTTGTGGAAGGTTCGGGTGATGGGGACCGGCACGCGCCGAAGAAAACAAATGAATGAATCGGTTCGAATGGAACATCGTGGAGCATCGGTTCTACCGGTTATCCAATTCAACCACTCCTCATGGAGAGCCATGAGGCCGAGCCATGAGGCTGTTGAGGGGCTCAAGGCTCGGATTGTTCTCCGAAGGCTTGAACGAGTTCCAGCGTTCGCAACCCAAGAATGCTGCGTTGGTCATAACAAGCAATCCGCGGGGAAAATCCCCTTTCTGCGCACTTTCGAAACCTCACAGGTTGGGATTTGCCTCACACTGCCGACGTTTCAATCCAGTAAGCCTGTAGAAACCGCTGGCCTATTGAGATTCCATCGCAGGACGCCACCATTGGCACAAAGAACATCCTTGGTGTCTCCTTTTTTCACCTTGCCTGGTAGCGGCGGTGCTGATGCCGGGCCAGCCTGGCGGGGCAAACCCACCAAGTTAATTGGAGAGATGCCTTGAGGGACAGACTCAGAACATGGACTTTCTTTCAACCATGGATAATGCATGTGGCAAGCCCAAGCCTCAAAATGCCTCAATTGACCCAGCCCAATGATTGGCAAGCCCAACACCCATCAGCGATCATCAGCGTATGTCTCAAATAGTGTATGCCCATGGAACGACCTTGTTATTCTATTCCTTGTGGTATACCCTCCCCCACAACAGCAAATCCAAGGAGCTGCGGGCCAAAAACTTATCGTGTTTTTTCCAAATGGTAGTGGCACCCCGGTTCAGGCAGGTCTAAATTTACATAATTTGCATAATATAAGTTTAATTATGATTTGCTGTTGATGCGCTTGCAGTGCGCCTTTGCTGTTTGGTCTGACGGACGTTTGGTCTAACGGGCCTCCTCCATGGACGCAGCATCTCGCGCAGCACTTGCACAGCGCGCAGCGGGACAGCTGGTCGGGCCAAAACTGTGATGTTTTCGTTACGTGAAAATGAAGTAGTCCGCAGGGGCATGGACTGAGAAAAGCGGAAAAAGCAGCGCGGAAAGCTGCAAACCCAACGAACAAAACTCAAAGAGTGGTCAAGTATAATATATATATATACACAGTATAGTCTCGAATATCCCGGGTGCTGCATGTTTTTTCTCCTCCAAGCACCCTTCCACCGGCTTCCCGGAGGGATGGCAACATCAGAAGGTGATTGGTGCTGAGAAGTGGTAGAACACTACACTAGCTTATGGGCGCCACAATGACGAATTAGCCAACATGGATTAAGACCAAGACTGCTCATGCGTTATATAAATGGAAGAGCCTACAGGCTGCTTCTAGAGTCGGTGTCAAGCACCTCATGAGGATCTTTCTGTTTTGCTCTCAAGTCACTACTATGTTGAAAATACGGAAGGTTACAACAAGCAAGGACAAGCCAAGCTCATAATCGGCAAGTCATTATGGAACGGTGGCAAGTCTGACACATTCTGGTTCTACACTGCCCGCATGCTGCGCAGGTCTAACGGCGTTGCAGTCGGCACGGCCGTCCGGCTGTGCATGCGGAGCTGCATCCCAAGGATAGTAAACTTGAACAACCGTGAATGGCTGAAACCGTTTGCACGCCGCAAAATGGAATCCCTCACCTGGGACTGGGGTTGGCCTTTCCCTATAGGCAGCAACAAGTGGACTTCATGCTGTGCCATTCGAACGGACGATGTGCGCCACCAGTCCCTGGCCGACGCTGCGTGGACTTGGAGCCTAAGGGAGTCGGCCCGACTGCAGGATCCCAGATGCGCAACCGAAGACACGCCTCCGCAAGCTACGTAGAAATAGACGGGCCGTACAGGGTGCGACAAAACCCTCAAGAGAAAACGGGAAGGCTGAAGTTGCAACTCTACAGGACATGGCACCCTGGAAATAAGGCTATATGGACCTAAATAAAGACAAAAAGAAATGGGCCGCGCAGTCAAGAAAGAAAAACAACAAAATAACCATCAACAACACGTCACAGAAACATCAGAAACAAACTTGGGGGGAAAATAACAACAATAATATTAAACATAAATAAACCGTTCAGTCCATCCCAAATCGGATCCCTTGCAGCCAGTGGGAAATTGGTGTCTTTTTCCTCCCGCCGTTGCTGTGGTGGAACTCCTCAAGGAGCTTCGCACCTGCCAGGCAGGAGAACGCGCTGTGCCGGCCTTGCCCCTTTGAGGGGACAAACCAACGGGTGCGCGGCGGTGGGGCAAAAAGATTGGAGGTAAAGAGATTGGATCAAAGAAGGATTAACAAACTCGAAGCAAACGCTGGAAGCAGGACGGTGAACAGACCGAAGAGGCCTAATTATATGCTAGAAGCTGCATGCTGAGCGCCTGATGGAATGCAGCATGTTCATAAGTGTCACTAATCCATACACCACTAGGATCCACTATATAGGACAAAAGTTGTTCTTCTTGAAGGTTCCACATTAACAACCCTGTCCTGCAGGGTGTCCGACGTCCTCATAGGAGCCGCGAGGCAAATGGATCAAACATTGATGCCAAAAAGGTTTCAAAGGCAAACATTCAACACATAAACTAAATAATGTCCTTAGAGCAAACTGAAAGTGCAAATGATTCAACAACGCCCACAGTGCATCGTCTGCATCACCAAATCACCAAAAGTCATCATTGGCAAAGTAAAAACACCAGCAGGCCAAGCAGGCCAATGTGGTTTCTCACCCTTCAGACACGCCTCGTTTGCAGAAAATAACTTCAGGACCGATGCGGATCCACATGGATGTTATAAGACCAAGTGACACCAAAAGGAACATTCATTCCTGAACTATACTCATCCGTTTGCCCAAGTTAGGTGGAAACATGTGGAACAGAACAAATTGCTCTTCCCTCACCCAAAAATCACCCAGCACCTCATCAAGGAGACCTGGCAGGTGGTGGCCACTCTGCAGCACAGTGGACGCCACGTCGCAGGCCAAAATCACATCAATCTCGATCTCACACACACCTGGGCAAGTGTGTTTTTTTGTGCTGGTTGAGTGGACTACGGTATGCTTCTGTGGAAGATTGTTATAAGTTATAAGCTTTGCAACCTCAAAGAGTAGAATGGGAATCTTTCTGAAACTGGTTTTGCACACAAGTCTGTCTCGATTCTTGTCATCTTTAGCTGAGTTGGCGAACAGGACATGGTGATGCAGTGGTCTCACATTTAGTGCACCTATTGATGGGCTTCTTCTTTAGATCAATTTCATAAGGGAAGTGTCCTGGTAGCCGCTCCAAGCCTGCAATGCTTTTGAGCCTTCCCTCGAACATGTTCAACCCTCGAACATCAACGCATGGAACCCAAAGATGTCTTCTTGCACTTGTCGTGCTTCTGGCCCTATAATCAGCTTCTGGCTGGGGGCAATTTTCATCATCCACTTATGTTGGCGCTTTGTTCGTCAAAAATTGCCCTCCTCTCCAGTATCCCTCGAAATGATTGACAGGGTACTCTACAATCCTGGCACCTCCAAATATCGTCCCTTTCTGGAAGACTTGTCACGCTCAACACTACAGGCTTGTTGCAACTGCAAGAAGTGAAGAGTGGTGCAAGAGTAGACTAACTCTTGCATCTCTGAAGCCTTAGAGCCCCATGACTTGGATCGACGGACGGAGGGATGCCATGCCAATGAACTAAGGCACTGTGCCCAGGGAGCACGAGAAAGCGGAGCACAGGGAGCACAAAAAGAGCCCTACACTCGGAAAAAAGACCTGGACGTGGAGTTCACCACCTGTTTCGTCTTCGGATTTCATGGTCATCCTTCCAGGGACGTTTTCCATCCACGCAATGATGATTTCAGGGAATCTGGAGTCAAGGAGTCGACGCGTCGAAGCCCCCACAAAAAACGGTGCCAAGCAGCGCATTTGGTCCAAGACCTGCGTTGAGAAAGCGTCGGACTGGCCAAAGAGTAAAGGTAGGCTCAAAGGACTTTTACACATTCAACAGTTCCCCAATGGACACCTTTAAAGGCTCAACCGCGCACTAGATCCCTCTATAGACCCTATACCCCTCTCCAAAATAGAACAAACAGCTCCATAGCCTGCAGGCATTTCAGCCACTGCAAAGATGCCGCACAGGCAGAAATGCAGGCCGCATAAGTAATGAGGCCCATGTCTTTTGGCGCCCCCAACTGATGCAGCAATTCCTCAGAAACTATCAATGCACGCAACTGAACAAATCAAATGGCAATAGTAATGGATATCCCTTTAAAAAGGCAGCCTGTGATGTTGCATGTCCACCTTGTGTTCTTGAAGCAATGCCCTTGGTCACTATATAACTCTCTAGAAACGCAACGCCGGAGAAAAAGTGAGCCACTGGCCGGTGCTTTGTCCGTGCATGTTGATCTGTGCGGGTTCTTCTTGCCTTATGGAACGGAAGTAGGATTGCGCTGTCATTCGCAAAAATGCGGTCAACAAAGCTGCTGAGATAAGCCGTGCCCGTCCCAAATCCTCTGATATCCTCTGATCTCCATATGGTTCTCCTACCAACCCTGCACAATGCACTTCGACATGGACCCCCGGTGCGACCAAAGGCTCCAATGCCAAGAGCCATTGACCCTGACAAGCGCTCACCACCGACGAGCATCGGACCATGTCGGGCTCATGCCCGCGCCTGAGTGGTCTTGTGAAGCCACATCCGTACAAATCCAAGTACCTTCTCAGAAGGGCTTGGAGGGTTCAAGTACCTTCTGAGAAGGTACTTGGTGGGGGCATCCACTGGTGACCCCTTGGGAGGTGCTGGAAGGTGTATCATTTTGGGGTCGGTGAGACCACTTTCCGGTGGCTGTCAGTGAAAGAGTAGCCAACATCATTGACATCAAAGGATACATTAGGTGGAAAGTGACCATTGACCATGCACTTGCTTTGCACAGAAAGAGTCAAGTTCTGAGTTGGAACGTTTTGCAACGACACCACCCGGTGTCAAAGCGACTGGAGAGCTGTTTAGTTTTCACAATCGTTGGGATGACCTGAAGAAATCGATCAAGATTTCTGGCGCTTTCATTCGTAATGCTCGTGGTTTGGCCGACTTCAGATCAAATGGCCGTACTGCGCGACTCCCAAGTGGTCGCGTCACTTCCCCGGGTGTCAGCTCATCAACCCACCTCCAGAAAATTGATAAACGATAAAATGAACCCTTCATAGCAATCCCGTACTGTCATATTGACAAATACGCAAGAAATAGTGGGCTCTGAGGGTAGGGGGTATGTGAAACAGATTTCTCTCTCTCAAGTCATCAGGCGCAGTCAGCGGAACCCTGGCGGTAGTCTTGACTAGAAGGCCCACCCGGCTGCGATTGACCTTTCTCATGGTCCTGCTTTGCTAACATGCCCGGAACCAGACCCAATTTTAGCCTGTATCTTGCTTTGTAATCAAAGCTTTCAGCTAGCAAAGCGTGGAGGTCATATTCTCAGTGGAAAAGGGGTCTCCCATGTGCTGGGAAGGATAGTGATGTGATAGTGATGTGTAAGGACTATTGAAGTGTCAACCGTTCTCTATGTATAACTTCCCACCAACTCTCCGTTCGCTGAGCTGCAAGCTTATCACCTCCATGATCTGCAGGGCCCCCGTCCACCGCTGAGCGACTTCGCAAGCGAACAGTGCGCTGGACAGCAGCTCCTGACCATGCCTTGGCATCCATCGGTCCGTCCGTGCGATGGATCTGGAGCCCGGCTCTTCATGGCCCTTCATGGCTTTTTTGCGTTTCTGGTCAAAATTCAGGAGACCTTGATTGACCTACCAGTACCTGGAAGGTGTTGGGGCTCCAGGTTTTGACCCATCCCCGATACTGTAAAGCACGTCCGGGATGTCTGGTGACGCTTGAACTTTCTTCTCACTCCTCTAGGGGCTCTAGAGAAGAACTGTGAAAGAAAACGCGTGGTGGAATCCTGCAAGGGACCGAAAACACTGTTAGCCCTTAGACGTTCCATCCATCTCAGGTGGGGACCATCCATGCTTTTCTCAAAAGATTGGATGCACCATCTACATCCATCTACCATAATCGCCCAGAGGGCGAACCAGGTACTACGAGCAAATCCAATTTTTTGCGCACGCATGCAAACAAACATGCAAACAATAAGGGGGGCCCCATACAAAGCATTGGGACACCAGAAACTGCAGGCAGGTCACCTTCACCTCTTTTCTTCCGACCAAGTTGTCCAAACAATATCATTGAAAGGACATGCCACGTGCCACCCGACTTCGCCAGACTGTGACTCAACAAAATTCGGCAACACATCACATGCCAAAGCATTGAAATCCCATGCCCGCCCTCCCATACCCGCCCCCCCTGCCTGTCACCCCCTCACTGACCGGCGAGTTTTGGGTCACCGAGGGGTTGCCTCCCACGTCCAAGGCACGGGAGCGAGGCGTCCAAACACTGCAGTGCTTGCGGCCATGCCTTGCCAGCGCCCGCAGCACCTCAAGGGGTGGGCCATCGAGAGAGAGGGGCGAAGTACATACTCCGTGGTGGTGCAAGTGGCGTGGCGTCGCTGCTTCACACAATGAAGATCAATGAATCAGGTTCTAAGTTCCGAGGAAAGTATATCATCACCTTCTTCTTTTCCACTTAAATGTTCCTGCTGCACCAAGCAATGCGAAGAAAACAGGAGGTGGGTCGGCGAAAACCTACTTCAGTGCTTCTAAGAACTTAGAAATTGGCACATAAACCCTGAAAAAGGATTGCTTATTGTTGCTTGAAGCTTAAGCCACTTTATGCAGTCCAGAGAGGTCAATGCAGTTCTTCTGGAATGCAAGTCAAGGTTGCAACTCTTATGTAGCTGGATCACGTATGTTGGATGTTGGGGTCAGCATGGTGGGAATATCAGCCTTTCACCACTGCCCACGGCACCGATTGTGGCGGCCGTGGTGATCATCGTCGGCCACACCCTTCGGAGCACCAAACTCCTTGCAGATCTGGTGGAATTCACCATGGTGGATGTCCAAGAAATGGGCCCCATACATGGATGATCGTGTATGGCACATACCTATATACACACACGTGCACTGTGCAGGAAAAAGGACTTGTACCATTATAGAACCCCTCAAGCCAACCCCAGGTACATATGCCCTACACGCATTGTCTGGGAAATAGGCCGTCCAAACAGGCCGTGCCAAGCGCCGTCCTGGCCATCTGCAGGGAGGTCTCCCAAACCGCTCCGCGGCCACTGGCGCTGATGAGCATATTCCAAGAGCCACCTCAGGTCGGGTGTCCGACGGCCTCGAAACCATCATCGGTCTGAGATAGGTGCTGTTGTTACTAGTAGCGATTCACTTGCTACTAGTAGCTTCCTTGCTACTAGTAGTAATGCACTTGTTACTACTAGCGTTCCAAGACACTATGACACTATGACCACTGGCTTCGAAACACGAGACCCCCCAACATGCGTCTTCCCATGCACGAGACCCCAACGCGCTCTCGGGCCATCCCACGCCGCAGTGAACGTCTCGCGCGCCGTGTGTTGGGTGAGTCCGAGGAGCTATCGGCTTCAACTTGCTTGCGGCGCATCAGTATGTTCAGCTGCAGGGCCGCTTCCCACTGTCGAAGTCTCCTGAGCGGTTTAGTAGACTCGCCTCACAGTCGGAGGAAGGAACATGTCAGCAGTGACGCTCGCTGCATGTCACAACGACGTATCTGTCTTCACATTCGATTGCCTAAGCAGCACCCAGAAGTAAAATGGAAACAATAGAAAAAACCTCGTGCCACAACTCACACATTCACAAACGAACTATTCACTTCTTTTCAGAACACAGCACCCAGCGACGCGCCTTTTTCTATTCCAAAATATGCCGATCGGCTGCGATCTCGATCAAGCTGGGGGCCTTCATGGCAAGGGCCCTGAAGCCACCACAGCGCAGGCCTTTTGATCGCTTTTTACTGCAAAACTCGACACCTACCTATGGCTCAAAAAGCGTCATGTTCCAGGAGCGTTCAGAAGTTCAGATGTATTGTAATGATATATAGTTACCAAAGAGACCGTGCATTCCTGAGCTAGTGTTCTCACAAGGCGTTCGCAGGCACAATTTGATCTATGATTGCCCGAGTGACAGGTGAGGCCCAAGTTCCTCCAAGTTCCTGTATTTCCTGTATGACTCTCTCGTTTATTTGAGAATAAGGGTTTTTCACTAGTTCATTTGCCGGGGAATCAGTCCCCCAAAAGGGTTACAGGTTGTCCATGGTTGTCCACTGACTGGCTAGGAAGTGATGTTCTGACCAGTGAATTCAGCCCTCAGACTTTTTCGTTGAAGGGAGGTCCCAGGAGATGCGGGCATCACGTGATGCAATTGTTACTGACACTATAGTCTTGAGGAGGTCCATTACCCATGCACATGTTCAGATCTACAGTACGTGACAAAAAAGGCATACATAGTATGTCATAGTATTGTAATGTATTGTAACATTGTATATATATAGTCATAGTCTTCTTTCTAACCTGTCTATGGTGGGTGCATTCTGCTTTTTGAGCCACCTTCAAAGCCTGGAGATCGGTGCTGCTGCCTCCTTCAAAGCATCACTTGAGGCATTGGTTGGAAGCGCAGCTTCGATCGCATCCATCAGAGCGTGGATCTCTTCTTCGGTGTTGTGCGCATGAAGGATGATGCGCAAGCGTTCCTGGTTGAAGATAAGAAAGCAGAACTGAGGGAGGCTGTACTGTTGAAGGAAAAGGTTCAGTCCAAGGATTCGAAGGAAGTGCAGAAGTCCTGATAACAACCCGTATCCAGAGACAGCTCCCATAATCTAAAGAAAACAGTGCTTTTGGCAAAGAACTTGGTGGTTTCTGGACCTCTCCCATCAACAGGAAACGATGAGTCTTACGTAGCTAATTGGGCTCCAGCTGGACACATTAAGATTCAAATTAAAGCGCCTGGGCCTGAACGGAACGTCCTGCACAAATGGACAAACGCACCAACCAACATTGTGGGAGCTTTGAGATGCCTTCAGGGTTTCCGGCTTGGCTCTCCAACTTCCAAACATCTAATGACCCACATGCTTGCCAAAAGCACTGGGTTCTCCCTATCGATTTGATTCTCCGGTCATGTCCGTTCTAGAACCGTCGGCCCAGCGTCCGTGCCCGCCGGCACCGTCGGGGACCGGATGGGCAGCACGTCGAAGCGGTGTCGCAGCTGCTGGGCCACGCGCACGCAGGCAGCGTTGCCCGGCACGATGAGCCCTTGGATGGGCGAAGGACTTTCCTCGGTTTTGGGCGAAGGACTTGTTCTTTCTGTTTCTTTTCGTTTTTTTCTCTGGCTTGAGTCGATGGAACGTGGTCGTGTGGGGTGTGTGTTTCTTGATTTGTGCGTGGAAGTGTTGGTTTGATGGAGAGGCTCGATCTGCGGATCTCTGCGGATCTCTGATGTGCCGGTGGATGTGAGAAACATCGAGCAAGGTTCAAGCGGAAGCCGGTCTATGACTTGGACACATTTGGCCAGCGCCGTTTGGACATGCGAAGTTGAGGTAGCAGCAAGTCCCATATCTGGGAGTCATAGAGTATGCAGCGTATGCCTATGCTGCATCAGCTTCAAAAGACTCCTGTACAGTCGGTTGGTGGGGCAGTGTAGCTTGCCATCCTCCAATTATGAAAGCGGGACAGCACCCATCTACCCACAAGCATCCCCAAGCATCTTGATGTGACTCAGAGGGGGGCTCGGAATTCAAAACAATCCAACAGATCACCAGGTTCCCCATCCACTGTTTGTTGAGCTCACACCTCAAAACAGTCTGACCCAGTCGATGACCACTGGTCCAACTGGTCCGCGGCGACGATTCGGAACATCCAAGCGTCCAAGACCTGCTGTGATGAGAAGCGCGAGAGCCGACTCTGGAAGGTCTGAATGAGACCTCTGAGGATGTCCTGAGGATTTTCGGATTTCCACCCACCCGGCTCGGGTGCTCCGGTCCGGGAGAGAAAACACCGTCGTGCCCGGGAGTTCTTGGCTACTGGGAGTTCTTGGGCCGGTCCCCCCCCCGCCCGGTGAATCGAGTGATCACTGCAAGAGTGGCGGGGGGCAGGTCAGAGGCGATACGGATCGCAAGGCAGGTCAGGCGGACGATGTCCACTGAATCTGGGGTTAAAGGGTCAAAGAGGGGACATAAGTGTTCAAGAGGTTGGGGGAAACGGATAAACCAAAAGTACATCATCCCAAAAGTTCAAAGTGGCAATGGCCAAGCCCGAGTTACTTGCCTTCGGGAAGCTTCCTGCCGCATGAATGCATAGGCACAACGGATGGCCGCCAAGGAGTGCAATGGCAGAGAGGTGGAATAGACTAAAGGCCAAGCGTAGTTCATCAAATACTCACCTTAGCGAACTGAACCGTGCCGCCTTGTTCAACAAAGGAATGGACTTCGCACTGTCCCTATGGACAGCTCGTTTTCCTGCTCCAGGCGCTGGCAACTGAAGCTTGAAATGCTCCTAGCGGAAGTGAAGTGTGGGAGTTACAAAGGCGGGTTTATCAAGCGCGACCACTGCGCGTTGCACAGAGCATCCGCAGCCTGGTGTTCAATGGAAAAAATAAACGAAGAAGAATACGCGATGCCCTGTCATTGGCCATTCACTCTGTTGAACTTCTGCAGCTTGCCAAGGGTTGGATCTTTTTAATGTGAAGGTAGCCATTGCTGCCTGAAAGGAAACATCTCAAACTGTCAAACATATAAAAGCAGGTCCCAAACACGTGTTCTATATTAATATATTTAATTATACTATATAACCCATGGAATTTGGTGCACCACCAGCTTCAGGCCAGGGGCAACTGGACAACACAATGATTGGTCTATTGATGCTCTTTGCTCCACACAGCCAAGAACCTTCAAAACATCAGGGTGATCGATCATAGAAAAGTGCGTGACTGAGCAGGAGCAAGGTCTGAGATACCGCTTGCAGTTCCCAAACCGTTGGTTGCAGTTAACATGACATCTCGTGCGAGGATATGATAACGCACATGATGCCTACCACGATTGCACGACTAGGTCTCATTTGCACCCCAGTCCCCAAACCCCACGTCGGCAGCGCGTGGAATCCTTTAGGTTCGCTGCAGGGAGCCTCCAATGTTTTGAGCCCCCGGATGTTCTGGCCATCAAAAACACACGCCTCGAGCCCCGGGTGATTTCGAGACCGTTCATGAAACCTCTGTGGGCCTCCGGCCTCGAGACCGTTCAACTCGCCCAGTGACGGAGCACGCGTGGGCCGACGACCACAGCGCCGTGCACACCCAGCGCCTTGCCGAAGGTGTGCACGCGGCAGAAAACCTCAACAAAGCACGCAGCACGTGGGGACCCCG